GCTTAAATTTTTTCTTCAGTTCTTTCAGTTTGAGAAATGCCGAGCGTGTTCTTCCCTTTTGGTTTTCAGACTCCAGGTCTTTGCACATTTCACCCTGAATGTAGCCAAGTCATTATTCAGCAGCCTGCCATGCTCTCCCAATCTTGGGACTTTCAGTGGACTTGAATCAATGGCCTGCAGTGTTGTTTGGTATCATTGAGACTGTGCCTTTTTACTTGACCTTGGGTTTGTTATCCTCAGCAGCCAGCGGCTGTCTGAGTAAAGAAAAGGCTCCAGCTTCAGTGGGCTGGGAGCAGGAAGCAGAGCTGAGGCCCATGGTTGAGGGGCCTAGCCCCTAGGAACCTGGCCCTGTGAGCTCGGACTTAAAGCCTCCAAACTATAAGAGAATAAACTCCTGTTTGTCAAAGCCATTCCATTTGGGGTATTTTCTGTCAGAGCAGCACAGAGGTAAACAAAACACCTATATACAAACATCCCACTTTAAAGAAGGCCATCTATCTGAAATGGCTAACCTGGTTCAGATCCCAAAATAAATGTGAAAAACATTATCCCAAGATAATTATATGGAAGATTAATTTTGAAGAGCCAGATTAAAACAAACAAACAAAAAAGCCCAGCATTCTCACCTAATTCTACATCTCAAAAATCTAACTATATTTTTCAAAAAGAAATACTAGCAAATGTGTACCCAAGTTCTTTCTATAAAGGAACACTCTTAGGTTTTATAAGGTTAAAATTATTTGAAGGAAAAACGCTGTCAAACTATTTTCTTTAAAGGGTCAAATAACATATAGGGCACATTCTCCCAAGTGAATCAAATCATGAAGAGGAGGAGTTAACATTTATTAAGAATATCAAGACCCACACACTATGTTAAGTTCTTCCTTGACAACTCATTTACTCCTCACAGCAGTACTTCTCATGAAAAGAAAATTGAGGTCCTATAAACATCTAGAAATCCTTGTATAAAACTTAAAGTTTTAGGAAGAATATGACTAATTTAACTATATTAACAAGTAACTTTACTTGAAATAATCTGAAAATATATGTTTTGGGCACAAAATTGATATATTATGGCTATCCCCCCAATCCCTAAAATGCATTAGAAAATATACAAAATGAAACACATCAAAATACTAAAAAGTGTTTTAGGCTCTGGGGGAACTTTTTTTTTCCCCATCTAGTATCTGAACTTTCAGTAACACATGGTGATGATATTTTGGTTTTTGAGTTTTTCCTCTTAAAAATTTACTGTATCCAGTATTTGTTTAGAATTGAACCGATTGAAGATTCCCGAACTTAAGTAAAAATTAGTAGCTGGCAAGTCATTTCTGATTCATAGTGACTTCATGTGCGCCAAACTAGAACTTTGCTACACATGGTTTTCAATGGCTGATTTTTGAGAAGTAGATCACCAGGCCTTTCTTCCAATGTGTCTCTGGGTAGACTGGAACCTCCAACTACTGAATCATTAACCATTTGTATCACCCAGTGACTTCAAATGAAGTTATCACAGATCAATTTTCAAGGAGCATGTAGTGTTTAAATAACGTATATGCTAGCAGGTCATGCTATTAAATAATTCAGTGGCAAGAGGGTATTAGAAGATGTTCTGGTTACCTAGTGCCTCTCTGACAAGAATATATCACAAATGGGATGGTCTGAACAATAATATAATAAAACTGTTTATTCTTACAGTTTGGAGGTCCAAGGCTGAGTGAAAGCTCCTCAACCTTGGGATCCAGCTCTGCCTCCTGCTCCCAACCCACTGGAGCTAGAAGCGTTTCTTCACTCAGACAGCTGCTGGCTGCTGAGGCTGACAAACCCAAGGTTGACAAGCAAAAAGGCACAGTCCCGATGTTACCAAACTACATGGCAGGCCAGTAATACCAGTCCACTGCAAGTCCCAAGGTCGGCAGAGCATGGCAAGCTGCCTAACAATGACTTGGCTACATTCAGGGTTCAGGCATGCCATAAGTTAGAGACCATTCCCAAAACTGCTTCTTATATACTGAAAGCAGACCACATCCCTAAAGCAGCTACTCAGCTGCTTGTGGTAGACCCCACCACAGAGGTGATTGCCAGTCTCATTATGGGGAACAACTATTACCAGCTACCCAGCCACTCAACCAGGCCCAGCCAAGTTGACACACAAACATAACTACACTTGGCATCTGTACAGATGTCCTCCACTGAGTGGCTCCAGTTCCCTAGTTCCTCTAAGTGGCGACCTCACCCCCTTGGCCTGGTGGGCCCTGTTCCTCTTCCTCTTGGGCATGGCAGCCCTGCCCCTTCACTCTTGGGCAGTGGCTATGGCTTCATGCCCCTAGCTCACATGAATGAGCAGCCCCACACTCCAGAACCAAGTTGGTGAAGGCCTGGCTCTTTGAAACGTAGGGGGCTGTGGTTGTTCCACCCCCAAAGGCCATGGTCCTAACCTTTCAGGCTGAGGCAGCTCTGCTTCCATTTCCTTGGTCTCCACTTCTGCCGATTAATGTCCAGGGCAACCCACTCCACCAGAAATCTTCTTGCCCCAAAAGACATTTAGCTTTCTTGCTCTGTGGGCTGGCCAACCTGCTACTCCATTTCAAGCCGGTCTCTTCTACCAATTAATGCCTGAAGGCAACCCATTTCACCAGGAAACTGCCTAAACAAAGGCATCAAGCTTTCTCCTCCATGGGCTGGTAAGGCTGTTGCTGTCTCATGCCGGTTCTCTCGGCTCTGCTCCTGCCATCTCTCATGCTGGTCTCTGGGCTCTACTCCTGCCATCTGTCAGGCTGTATGCTGGGGTCTCTCTGCCAGGGTCTCAGGTCAAGGATGCACTCCACTCCTGTTTCCACATTTTAGGCATCTATCAGAGCAGCACTCCACTCTCCTGGTATCATATTCTGTTCTGGTTACCTAGTGCCACTCTGACAAGAAATAGACCACAAATGGGATGGCCTTAACAAATAGGAGTCTATTCTTTTCAGTATGGAGGCTTTAAAGTCCAACTTCAAAGTGCCAGGCTCTAGGGGCTAGGTGAAA